CCCTTAGTGAAACCATACTGTTTATTATGTAAGAGTTTATTTTTATTAAAATGTAAAGAAAGCTGGTCTAGCATTATCTTTTCAAAAACTTTGCTCAACGCAGGGAGCACGGAAACAGGTCTGAAGTTTGACGGATCAGACTCACTACCGGCCTTGAACAACGGTGTAATCTTACTTAATTTCATTTCGTCCGGAAAGACTCCACAATCGATACATCTGTTAAAAATTATAGACAATTCAGAGCTTATTACATTAATAACGGAATTTAAAATGACTGTTGACATACCCCATATATCTTTACTTTTTTTTAAATTAATAAGCTTAAAAGTTTTAACGATATCATTACAAGTTATATGTTTAAACTGAAATTTAATATTACATTCAGGTACACATTTTTCTAGCAATGAGATCGCAGCAGCAGGTGAAGAATCTAGGGACTTGGTCGTATTTAGTGGTATGTAAAGAACTCTTCAAAAGAAGAAGCTACCTCTGGGTCAGATTTTATTAACTTCCCTTTAACTTTTAACATATAATCAGTTCGTTTGTCAGACGTTTTACCTGATTCTTCATTTATTATTTTCCAGGTAGCTTTTACTTTATCCATGCTATTTTTTATTTTTGAACTTAAATATTGAGACTTTGCAGTTTTGCAATCTTTTTTGAAATTATTTGAATACAACCTAACATATTCCCTAAATTCCACACTAATGTTATATTGCATTTCGTCATAGATTTCATATAATTTTAACCTTTTCCTGTGTAACTCCTCATTTGCCCAGTCACAGAAACTTGTTTTCTCAGAGACCAATAAAGTCTTTTGAGTAAATACTTTCTTGAATTCATCAATAAATGATCCAAAAAAAGTATTGTATAAATTATTAGGGGATGAGTTGCCACACAGAAATGGCATTCTATAGACCAATGCTTCTCTAAATCTGTCCAAACGGTCATTTGTAATAGGAGTTATCACAATTTTCTTCTTTTTACATGTTTTTTGTTTCCTTAATTGGAATTCAAACCATTGACCAGTGTGATCAGATTTAAATCTATTGAAAATACAAACATTCAAAGGGGCTATGTCACTATATATATTATCTATACAAGTTGCGGTGCTAGCTGTTATTCTTGTGGGTGAATGAAATTGATTTATTAAATTGTATGAACGAAAAAGACTAAGTATGCGTACACTTGAATTAGAATGACAAAGTAAATTGACATTAAAGTCCCCACACACAATTAGCCCTTTATTACACTTTACTAATTTACACAATATCTCCTCTAATACATTTTCAACATTATTATAGACAGCTGATGGAGGACAATATAGACATACAACAATGAATTGCGCCAGTTCCACACAGGAGATTTCAATAGTTAGTTCTACAGAGAGGCTGATAATATCCTTTCTTTCTTTGCATTTAAGTTTTTTACTTATTAGGATTAATGAGCCACCATGAATTGCATTTTCTCTGCAAAACACACTACCAACCCTGTGGTTACAAAAATTAAACAAAACTTCATATTTTTTTAACCAGTGCTCTGTTATGCACAAAAGTCTATTTTTTGACTATTCAAGAATAGTTCAATTTCTAATTCTTTATTTTTCATCCCCTGTATATTTTGATGAACCACAATAATTTTTTGGGAATGAATTTTATCACATAATATACTTACCTTATTATTGCAAGAGTGGTGCTCTGTTGTCCTATTATCTAATTTAAATAAATATTATTTGGAATTTCTTCCAAGGTCTTATAATCTAATGCTTGCTCAATAGAAGCAAGGGGTCTAGCCAAATTCTTGGCTGTCATCTCTATAAAATATGATAGCGAAACAGCTATCTGTCTTTTTAAGAAAGCAGGTAGGTAATAATATCTACCCTTTGTAATAAAAAACTTTTTCGTATACCTATAGGTATCTATGACACAAAATTTATCATTATACATTGCCAATGTATGCAATGTTTGATTAAGAATATATCTTGTGTCATTTTCTTCCTTAGGAAAGCTTTGGCTATAGGGAAATGTAAACATAACAATCCTCTTAGAGTCTAAACAACAAAGTTTTTCATATAATACTAAAAGATCATGTTTATTTACATTTCCCCTGTTCCCTATAAAAATTATTAAATTATTACATTTATCATTGTTTTTGATTATATGATTTTTCACAATGTTTTTAAAAGTGGCATTGGGATAGCAGCTGTTTATAAATGTTTGGCCGTCATTTAATTGTACAATAGTACCCATGTCCTTACCCATTTCATCGGAATACATTAAATTCCTTTCTTTTGCCTTAATTTTTTCCTTTAACTGAGTGTTTGTTGTGGTGTAGGTGAGGCTGTGAGTGTGTTGTGATGTCTGTGGTAATTGGAGGCTTTTATAATTGCAACCATAAGTTTTATTCTGTAATTGCTCATAACATTCTGCGGTGTAATTAGAAATTTGAAGCAGATCTTCCATTGCAGAAGAATATTTTTCTACCATACATTGTGATTCTTCAAATTTAGAAGTGAGACTGTTTGTAAGTTCTTGTAATTTTAAAATTTCTGTTTTTAAATCTAATGTGTCAGATTCATATTTTAATTTAGCATTTTCAGTTTCAATTAAATTATTTGCGTGATACATTATAATTATTATTAATTTGAAAACGTATGATATGATACAAGTAATGTAAAAATTGACTAATTGATATGACTCATAATGTAAATTTCCTGTTAAAACATATTTGCACGCCATTATGTGCGGCAGAATATGCGAACTTACGATTGTACCATAACATTTTTGTACCATATTCTTGGAATAAATTATTATTATTATTAGTAGTAGTTTTATTGACTTAAAAGAATAGGTTGCCAATTCGATGTATGTATATAGGATGTTTTGTATGTTTAAGAATCTCCCTAAAGAGTTATCAGCTTATGTATCAGAACATTCAATAATCTATGTAATCTAGCACAGCCGCTGAATTTATCTATGATTGTATTAAAATACATGTTATCTTCGGGAGTGGTGCAGACACGTTTTGTTTTCTGTTTCTTAATACGTAACCGAAACTATTGGAGCAACCCTTAAAGCCCGCCTTCCATTGCGAGCGGAACGGACCCATTACGGACTCCGCTATACTCGTAACGATGATTTTCATTTTTCATTTCCGTGGGAAACTCGGTCAACTCGCTAACCTCATATGTGACTCTTTCAACTCGCTCTCTCCGCTGCGCTCGTCTCCGCGGAAGCACATTTATGAAAATCATCGTTACGAGTATAGCGGAGTCCGTAAGGGGTCCGATCCGCTGGGAGTGGAAGGCGCCCGCCTTAGCATTAGAGTTTATAATCAAACCTTTGTTTAACTGTAACTCCTGCCCACTTCTCGTTGTTAAGAATTGCAGAATGAGAAAATCCACCCACACATGACGGTTTGCCACAAACAAAGAAATTAATAAAATAACATATTATTTGAAACATTTATTTGAAAATTTATTGGATGACATAGATTCACATAAATATTATTTACTTAAGGCTTTACAAAAAATATATTTTACAGTTTCTTGGGTTTTATTTACACGTAGCCCTAGCTGCCTTGCGATTCTGTAACTCACTTTTAGAACTCTCACTGCGGTTTTCGCAGCGGCGGTCGCGCTCAAATCAGTCGTGAAGCAGTGATTTTACGATTTGGCATTCTGATAAGGAGGGAGCTTGTAGTTTATTGTTTGACGGATCGAGCGCGACCGCCGCTGCGAAAACCGCAGTGAGAGTTCGAAAAGTGAGTTACAGAATCGCAAAGCTGGACTCTGAAAGTAGCCTCGGCTCAATTAGCCAAAAAATATTACATATTATTACGTTTTATATGTATTTAATGCAATCATAGCTGCAACCAAAAGTAAATTAATTATTTTTCTTGTTTACTTAAAACAAATGAAATTTAAACAACGAAGGAAGTTGATGAAACTAAGTTTACTTTGGAGTAGTCCTTATGGTACAAGTGCACGAGTTAATCAAAGATTTACGTTGGTGTCTGGTAAATAGAACAGCAAGTGCTCAACTTCAGAGAGCAATACTGATGGCCACCTTTTTGTATGGAATCTTGGTGTAGTTATCTTAATGTCCGTCGCTGATACAGAGTTTTTGCTATTGAGAGTTACAGAGTACCAGCGCATACACATCATATAACATCACATTAAAGCTAAAGCAATTAAGCCTACTCTTAAATAACTATTTATCAAATGTATATATATTTCTAGTCTTATTAATTTTAATAAAATAATATAAAATCACGATTAAAGATAAACATTTGGGTAGTGATATAAATGAAGACAATTTTTAACTATTTGAGACTGAGGTTTCAAAATGCTGGAGCAGTAGTTTCGCACTTAATTAACACGCAATGATTACATTTATAATACTTTACATCCTAACCAATTAACACATTGATATATGGAATGGAGAAACTATATATTTAAGACTTAAACCTACTATGATATTAATAATTTATTTGTAAGTTGCTTATTTATATAAATATTTACTAGTGATAATAAATTAAATGATAACTCTATATACAGTTTGACTAGTATTTTACAGTTTACATCTGTGTAGAAACTAAATCTGTTCTTATTGTCTCTTTCTGTCACATAAGCTTTTCGCTGTGATAAAAAGAGACAAATGATTAGACTGATTAGCTTTTATGAATTAATACAAACGCTTACAACGTGTGTAACACAATACCGTATTAATTCTTGGTTTGATTTTACACTTCAAATAAAAACAAACTTTTGTTTCAAGTCAAACTTGGATGAATGGAAAGCTATTGAATCGAGTTTAACTCTTTAACATAATTAAATCAAAGAAACAGGTGTAAACATCCGACAGCCTCCCAAGAAGATATTTTATTTCAACCTCTACTAGCAATTCCTTGATCCAATTTCCTTCTTATACAAGGTCCTAAACTATAATAAAACTGTTAAATATTATAAAAAAATTACAAGGAAAATAATTACAAATAATTTATCTGTTAATACATTTTTCATTGACGTCGGTGAGGAAATCATTGGAGTCTCTGATGGTCATGATTGTGACACCATCGCTGTTTCTGGATATTAAATTATTTTTCTTTTTACTTCCGTAGTCATAGTTGGAAATGACGACGCTCTCTGTAGGGTTCCTGTTGACAATAAAGAAATGTAAACATATGGTTTTGTTAGTAAAAAGCCTAAGATTCGCAAGCACTTTGTATTTACAATATGTAGATACAATTTAGGACCATAGTGCTGAGAATATAAAACAAAAGACGAAACTTTGTGTTCAATTGTTATTAGACAAACGGTAATAATTGTTTCGGGTTTTAGCTATTATAACTACAAAATATTTTTTCATTTTCCATCTTACCTAAGAGGGTGTGAGAGTGTGAACAGCTTGCTAGTTAGTGGACAGGAGTATCTGAATAGTACATGTAATGTATGTATGAGCAAGCTGCACTAGATGACTAAATATATGAGAGGGTGAGACGTAAGAACCTAACAACCCTACGGATCCCTAAGCCCTACAGACGTACCCTAACACATAAATAGTGAATATATAAATATATAAATAAGTACGGGATGTCTGCACCAAGAGACCTAAGGTAACAGACGGAGCCCTACGGGTAGGATCAAAGGTTCGAGGTGGTGGGATTATCTCAAAGTTACCGGGCAGGCTCACCACGATAATTAAGGGCTTGAAGTAGTCTTCGCCACTTTGAGAGGAAGCGAGAAATGAACAAGACAGAGCAATATTCAAATCTGATTTATTGTTATAAAACAATATCTTAAATATTAATTACACCTATTCACACATACATGATATTTTTCTAGTGAGCTGTTGGTGTATCGCGCAACCTCAGCTATTAAAATTTGGAATACATATGAGCCGTGTCAGCAGCTTGTTGATGTTCAAATGATGAAATCTGAACAGAGTGCGAGGAAATATTCTAATATTTTAAGAAGAAGATTTTGACTATAGCATTAGTAACAACATAGTTTTTTCTTTAAAATATTAAGATATAGTTTGTTTAATGTTTTGTTTCAGTTTTTATGTATAAATGTTCTTAATTGTCTTGACCAATCCTAATTAAACGTAACGCGGCTTTGACAAATTCGCACATGACTGTATGATTCAACTTGCGCTTGGTCACGTGACTTATGTCTCTATCACGTCTGGGGCGACGTATTTTTGTCTCTTGGATGAGTCATAATTTAGGCCAGTTAGGTAGTAGGTATAGTGTCTGTGACTTTGACTAATAAAACTTCTTAAATCATAAAAGGAAAATATAACTTCTAATTGACTAAGACTATGGAAAGTCTTCAAGCCATCGTTGATTGACTGCTCAAGGCTTCACACTTCGATTATGATAAGAAGCATAAGCATTTTCTTTAATAAATAAAAATAGTTATAACATATATCTAATATTCGAAGCTATACATCAATTGTTCATAGAATTCTGGGATCTAAAAAAAATAACTAAAAGTATCATTTGGCCTTAATACTGTTTTATTTAAGAGCAGTGTTGTCCTAGTGGCTTCAGCGTGCGACTCTCATACCTGAGGTCGTAGGTTCGATCCCCGGCTGTGCACCAATGGACTTTATTTCTATGTGCGCACTTAACATATTTTGCTAAAACGGTGAAGGAATACATCGTGAGGAAACCGACATGTCTTAGACCCAAAAAAGTCGACGGCGTGTGTCAGGTACAGGAGGCTGATCACCTACTTGCCTATTAGATTTAAAAATGTTCATGAAACAGATTCAGAAATCTGAGGCCAAGACCTAAAAAGAGGTTGTAGCGCCACTGATTTTTTTTACAATTTTATTGTTATATACGGTCCATGTTAATCAGGTAGTTTCCTTATTTCATATAATTCATTTGACAAAGACATAGACCCTTTGTAACTCTCAACAACAAATCTTCAGAACTTTGAAAAGTTTTGCCAAAATCCTACAGTTGAGCGATTTAACGCAGCTAGACGTGAAAGGCTTTACTGAACTTCCTTTTTAAAGTAAAGTACAAGAAAGGGGAATACATTTTAGCTAAAGTAATCTATAATTAATCGAATATTAGACTGTTAACTGCTCTACACTCTAATAAATATTAGAATATAAAAGAAATAATAAGATTAAGTTTAATAAAACAAAATTTCTTCTGTACAAACATTAACTGTCCACATCGTATCCCTAACTTTAATAATACCTACTAACTGACGTGAGACTGATATTAAATTAAATTCTGAAATTAAATTATAATGATTCATGTGCACTTTTTATTATTATTATTTTCATGTTAATAGTTTAGTGTTTTTTTGTTCCTGTTTAGTTTCTTTTTCTGAACAACTATATACAGTAATACATGTATTTTTGCACTTCTTGCCTACCTTATGTTATACAGTGGTTGCCTGGAAGAGATCGCTCGAAAGCGATAAGGCCGCCAGTTGCTCTCCTTTTTATTTAATTATGTCAATTGTACTACATATATTAATGTATATGCAACGAAGTATTAATAAATAAATAAATGAGTTTATTCTTGCAAGTAGGACTATATAAATCACTTTTACAATGTCATCCTAAACTAGATGAAGTCGACATTTTCTAACTGACTGCCCTGAGAAGAAATGTCGAAACAAACTCGGGGGTCTTAGTCTCTTTTATAGTCCAGATAATACAATAATAAATTAATAAATTGGTGTAAACAAATGCAGAGTATTTACTGGACTGGTCTTTGGAAGAAAGAACCAGATCGATCTGAGCAAGCCTGTGCCAGCAGACGGCAAGCATGCCCCGAATAGCTCATGCAGCTCAACCATTTTTGAGGGAGCTGCACAACCCGGTACACAGCAATACCGCCAGTGGCACCATAAAAATATGTGGGGCAACAACTCACTCAGATCGCCAGCCCAAAATAACTACATATATACTAAAATGTATCAAATTATAAATCAAGCAAAAGAGTTTATGATATACCCGCATAATGTTTACACTTACAATGGATACAAAATGTATTTTTAAGGTGTACCTTAAAGCAAGGAAAAAATAATGAAATTGAAAAATATAATCGTAATATAAACATTATTCACTTGGCATGTCAAAGTGTAAAATATTGTATGCAAAAGCACAAAACATGTCAGTATTGTAGAAAAAGAAAAAATGAATATGCACTAAGCACAAAACGTGTCAGTAATGTAGAGAAAAAAAAATGTAAAAAAATGAATATGCACTAAGCACAAACATGTCAATAGAATAAAATAAAATGCATATGCAAAAGCACAAGACATGTCAGATTGTAAATATTATTAATATATTAATAAATAAATAAACACCAAAAATATGTATAGTATATATATACATATGTGATAGACGTCTAGTGTAATAATAACAAAACATATTCACTGTTATACACTTAAGAAGTGATAGAGAAAATTTTAAAAAATGAAGATATTAAAAATTGTTCGTGCAGGTACAATACTGAATACACAAGGTCTTTTCCTTTATTTCAAAAACGTGCAATCAACGGGTTGCATGGTTTTGCATAAATTATCTACACTTTTAAATTCTATTTTAGTTTGAAATAGAGTCTTCTACGGGCTTAGCACGGTATTCATAGAAGCTGAAAAATCGGTGGTGTGTAGTATGAATGTAGTGGAGCTGTCACTTTAATTGTTCTATGGCCTCACGCAAATGATTGTTTGTTGCTCCAGGTCGTGACTGAACGGTGCGTACACGTGTTCTACAGTTTGTTCGCCATTATTGCAGGTACATATTGGGCTTGTCTCAATTCTGCAGGTAAAGGCTCGGAGCCTTGTATGAAATTGCGCCATCTGGGATGTGAAACGCTTTTCTTTGATTAACTTGATCGGCAATGGTTACTGTTACTGCACTTATCTTTTATGATATTAGCGGATCATTTAGTGGTTATAACTAACTCTCTTTTTTTGTAGACCAAAAACATGGACAAGTTTTAATTATGCAAAAATATAAACAAATTTCACAGTTAGTTTATCAGTAATAGTAACACAAGCTGCCTGAAAGCGTTGCTGTATTTGTTTTTTGTGTTTATTTTAATTGATTATTTATTTTATTTAAGCTAATAATTATCTAATCTTTTAATAAAACACTATTTTGACCGGATTGAAGTTATGTATTATTATAAATTTAACATAATTAACAGTCACCGTGACCACGCACGCTGTAAAGCACGCGAAACGTCGGATAAATTTAAAATTATGTTAAATTTATAATAATACATAACTTCAATCCGGTCAAAATAGTGTTTTATTAAATGAATAAAAGTTATGTTAATCAAAGACAATACTATATCTAATCTTTGTTTCTCTCAAAACATTTTCTATACATTTAAATACCACCTAAGTGATAGAACAATTAAGTTTAGCTGTCACTACCCTGACACGAGAATTAATAAAGTTGAAACACCCTTGGGAATATCGTATACCAGTGTCGCCTAGACCATTTTACATAAATTCAAAATCTATAAAGTGCGTATAATATTCATTTGCGCCACACTCGTGGTCCATACATTCGTTTTTCATCATTATCTACGTGCTATTTAAGCTGCAATTTCACCGTCGTAGCTTGATACTGTTTAGCCCACCTTGAAAATTATATTTATTAATACAACACAAAATAATATTAACTTACCTATTACATCGAAGCCGTTGTGTGCTCCTGAAGGAAGTTTCACAAATGGCTGTCCGAGACAATCTGGAGCTGCAAGTTGGGTGTAAGGCGCCACGGCGACAGCACAGGTACCTATTGAAGTGCTGTCTGAAGACACCACTCACGCAGTATAATGCTACTGGGTTGACGCATGAGTTGAGGAAGCTGTGGGTAAAGTACACATTATCAAGGTAACTATTAAACCGTATTTAAACGTCAGAATTCTTTGTTAATTTAATGTTAGTTATAGACTAGTAAAAATCACTTTCTTCAACTTTGATACAATATACGAAGGCGCATAGATAAATAAATGACGATCGTGGTCGCGTTTTATGAACCCATGTGACAGCTTTGCGTCTTCCATTATGTTTCTATAATAATCTAATAAGTACGATTGCTTAATCATATTTTCCTTCCACGATTTTCTATTACGCTGATAACATGAGCTTCGTGCTTTGAAAAAAGTACGTGCTTTCGTGCTTCATACTTTTTTCAAGCGCCTTTTAAAATCGTTGTTGTAATTGTTTTGTATTTGTACTGTATATTGTTTAGATTTAAGTGCCTATTATTGTATTTCTTCTTATTTAAGTTGTGTTTCTCATAATTTTATATTAAAAAAATAGGACAAAAAGAACAGTATATTATTATTATTATTATTTTTTATTTATTCCATATCCTTATTCTATCTTTACAGTACCTAATTACTAATTCGATAGAACGACACAATATTTACACCCACACCAATTAACCTAGATAAAAAACATTAAGAAATATATATATATACCTAAATCTTATAACTAATAATATAGGAAGCAACTCTTGTGAACTCAGCCAGTGTACAAACAAACAGGTCTACCTCAACAGAAATCCTATTTATTATAATTATTGCTCGCGTGAGTGGTGCTTCGCTAACCAAGTTGGAATGTGCGCGCGGTACATCCAAAAGTTGTGACTTCCGCCTCTGGTTTCTACTTGGTACCCGTAGACTCAGTCTCTCCATTATGTCCAGATTATGAACCCGACCCGTAAGTATCTTAAATACATACACTGACAAGGCTAGCTCTCTTCTGAGGCGTAGCTGGTCATAGCCCACCATTATAACTTGTATATATTTTTTACATATCTTGTACTTGTGTTGTGTTATGATTTCTTATTGATACATAAATAAATACACTTTGGTAACTTGCTATTGTACGCACCACATTGTTTTGTGTTAAAATAGCAGAACGTAGTTAAGATTTAAAATAGAGAATCTCTATTCACCCGATCGCTTAGTGATTCACTCCTGTTCGGCCTGTTATTCGGTTATCCGTATTCGGTATCCTGCTTATCATCTATCTGTTTCATCTCAAATAGAGATACACATAAAATCTTCCGTTTGAATATTTAACTGATAAAAACTGTATCAATAAATGCTATGCGTAGCTAAATCTAAGCGAAGGGACGACAAAAACCGATACTATGTTTATTAATCGTACTAAAAATTATATTTGAATGAACACTTTCAATTAAAAAATCTTTTTAAATCTGTTAAGAATATTAAATATACCGGAAACGGACGCTTTTCACGAGGGACAAACTTCATTAACATTGATTAGCTTTGCAGGAATTAAAATTGAAAAGTGGGTAATGAAAAAAACCAGGTTTTCAAAAGTTACTTAAATTCGGTACAGACATTTCTGAGGATGTTTTTTATAATTTTATTTTTTTATACATTCATGCCTTTTTTCAGAAGGGGCAGGCTCAGACCACGGATCTCCATTTGCCCTGACATACCTGTCTTGCTACGACTGTCAAGACATTCACCATGCATGCTCGCCCCTTATAAGTACTTTTACCTGTCCCTTCTCTACGAGTAGTACGTCCTACATATATGTCCGACAAGGCCTACACAAACCGTCCTCACCATTCACGATTGCCTTCCATAAAGCCGCTTCTCATACTTTCTACATGCCCAAAACCACTTAAGATTCCATTTCGTATCCGTAGTCCTGGAATGCGAGGCTGTAGCTAAACAACATGTAGAAATCCTCGGAGCAGTAAGGTCGCGTGACGCCTGGGAAGTTCCCAGGAGACTTCTGTGCTTCTGGAAGGACCTAGGCTGGCTAAGTTAGCCGGGACTTTACGCACAAAGGACGGAAGTGAGTCTTAGTGAAAACTGAGTCAACCAACCATCGCTATTGTATCCTTGTCACTACGACTTCTTTTAACTCACTAACGTCACTATTGCTAATGTTATCACGCAATGTTCACACATACTTCTTAATGCTCTCTCATCCATGATTTATACTACTTTCTTTTTTCTCTGCCACACCCAAAATTCACAACATTCATGTTGGGACCAGCCCTGCGATTCTGTAACTCACTTTTCAAACTCACACAGCGGTTTTCGCATCGGCGGTCGCTCTCAAATCAGTCGTGAAGCAATCATTTTATGATTTGGCATTCTGAAAAGGTGGGAGCTTGTAGTTTATTGTTTATTAGAATGCCAAATCATAAAATGACTGCTTCACGACTGATTTCAGAGCGACCGCCGATGCGAAAACCGCTGTGTGAGTTCGAAAAGTGAGTTACAGAATCGCAGGGCAGCACCTCTCTAATTACAACCAGTCGAGCCTCATTTGAGGTTTCTTGGCTACATATAAAGAAAAAATGTACCACACACACACTATCAAATATATATGCAATATTGTACATATCAATGTGAATGTACACACATACACATCCAATCTAATCCAAAATACCAAATTTCGTCGTGCATCGAACGCTACATATTTAAAAATATGTAAATGCTATTTCGTAATCAATTAAGCCGTAAAGGTGTTTTGGTGTGGGTACGTCTTCACCGAATTAAATTTCACACTTGAACCATCAACTTCACAAGGGCTACGTAATATAGAACTGAGTTCCGGCGCATCCTAGAAAAATATATTTAAAATGAACGTTTAAAATTGTCTTGAAGGCTCAATGTCAGACTCTAGACGCCCTCGTTTAGTAAATGAAGACAGGCGTAGAAATTTATTGTGACATTGAAAATTTTTCAAAACCATTGCACCGAAATACGATTTTTTTAAACTTATTTTAGTAGGGCGTTATTTTATTTACGTTCAAAAATTAACAATACGTTATTTGAATTTAAATAACACTGTTACTATACCAACGTTTTTAATGGATTGTCACTTCAAAATCTAATATTTCGAAAATGGAACCCGTGGCAACCCCAGGTTACCATGGCAACTAGACATAGCCATTAAACGGTTATCCACTATTTTTCAATTAATAACAAATTACGTGAACGGCGATCTAGTACCGTGGATACCGATTACAAGACAGTGATAAGGGTAACATTTACCCATTTTCTCAACAGAAAGGAAAAGTTTGTAATCGTTTTCTTATACCGAAATATTAGCCTAAACATTAAGCGTTTCATCTTCCAAACTTTCCAAAAGAGCATCAAAGTTACTGGAGTTAAAATGTAAATTACTCGAAAATTTCTCGACAACGAAGTTTGACAAACATTGCTTACCTAAGACAGAAACCCATTATTCTCATAGCGTGGATCCAGTCGTTGTAATCACTTTGTGCAGTTGGAGATAAGTAAAACCACATTTCCAATGCGTGGTATGGTAGGAAGCATATGAAAAACACTGTAACAAAATCAGTAATCAATATAAACATAGTAAAAATGCAAACAGTTTTTGCCTTTGTGTAAAACTGTAAAGGTGTTAATATGCGCGCTCCGCTCATTACGCCGCTCATTATATTATTTTTATTTGAAATTGAATTCACATTTTCAATTATACCTACCACTGTAGCTGTAATTGCCCTCACTTGCGTAAGGGTACTAAACAACTATTACATTAGTTAGTGATACAACGTTTAAGCTAGAGTTCAAAAGACATTCACGCCATACATTGTTCATATGTGAAACATACTTTTAAGCTAATTTAAGCTGCTTTGGCATGTATTAATAATATCCGCAGTTTTAAAATCGCAGATTTATGAAAATAGTATGCTTTTTAAAAATAGTAGAATTAAGAAGTAACTAACTAATTCATTAATTTATTTATAATGCATGAATTTAGTTATTAATGCATGAAGATCCCCTGAGGCTAACAATGTCGATTCCATACAAATATCGGTGTGTGTAATATGATTATTAATCAAACAAAACATCAATAATATGACCCCGTAGAATAAGAAAGCGAGCACGGGAGTCTTCTTATGGTAGGGCGGGATACAACCGAGAAGTGTTTTAATGGGAATTGTTTACCCAGTTCTCTGAGTAGCAGAGGGGATCCCTTGTGTGAGTAGAGTCCCAGACTTTTTATAGCCTTTCAACTGCAGGGAATGCGCAAATACCATTTCCTTCTCGGTTATCAAAATACGTCAGACGTCAGACGAATTTAAGAACGTCTTTTATTCATTTCTTTCTGCTCCTTCATTTATTACGAAAAGCCTATATCAAGCACACTACAATTGGAGTATAATGGAACCAATCTACTAGCAATATACCTTTTGTCTTTAAAACAATACGAGCTCTAAGCCCCTACAGTAATTGGTCTGAATATGACAATGCCTCTTATTAAGAAGCTTAAAATAACGTAAATGTTGAGTGTAATCACTTCCAAGTTACTTGTATTAAATTATTTATAGGAGATCTCGTTATTCAATGATTGATGATATATCGTGTTGGTCATATGTGACCTTTATAGCTTTAAAGATGTGATGCCTTTTGAAGGTCATACAACGTACATAATACCTAATAATGTGTGTGGAATATTGAGGTCAGAATTAGTTAGCTAACCTTTGTTAGGTTAGCTAAGATAACTGTTTTCCACTGTACAATGTACATACTATATTAATATATTAATAAAAAGGCCGGCAACGCACTCGGGAGCCCTCTGGCATTGAGAGTGTCCATGGGCGGCGGTATGACTTGCCATCAGGCGAGCCTACTGCCCGTATGCCCCCTGTTCTATTAAAACAAAATTGTTATTGCTATTGGGGCATGCATATTGCATATTTCCTAATGTATTCACAGTTTATGAAGTGTAGATTTTAAAATAGGTATATATCGATATACTAAAATCGCCAACCCGAAAAAGTACTCGTATGTTTACAATTAATCTCTTGAATTGGATGGAGGTTCTGTATTTGTTTAGATTATGTCCCACATTCCCAACTGAGACAATTGTTATAAAGGAGTTAATTACGAATAGACAATTCGATTTCTTAGTACGCTGATATACACGACCATATCTATTGTCTATTAACAATACATCACCAACAAAATATCAAGTACAATTTTTGTATCGAAAAATAGAACACGTGGTTGAAATTGGAAATAAACGGAAGCATAACAATTCATTGCTCGATAATAATTCGTGTCACTAAGCAAATTGTATGGAAAGTCGATGCTTTTGATATTTAAAACTGAAATGAATGCTAAAACTATAATAAAGACAGTAGTACTTACCTATAACGAATATCAAGACCATACATGCGACAGATTTCCTAGCTTTCGCCTGAGCTTCTCCTTGCCCTGCGTGTAATGCGCCGGGCATCTCTTTCGTACTGGCCAACAGCCTTTGAGCCATTAGGACATAAAAGAACGCGATCACGAGTAGTGGCAATGCGTAGTAAATGAGCGCCTTAGCTAACGTCATCCATCTGTTAACACAATTAAACTATTTATTTTAAGTAGCACCCTCCAACAGATGAACCCCTTGTCACCTAGTGTCGTATAGCCTGGGATCGAATTGGCATTGTTAGAAGCCCCTCGTCACTATGTGACGACCATAGTAGCACAATGGCTAAACGTGGCTCTGAAAAAGCTACTTTTTAGATGTCGGACACAGGAACTTCACAAAATGTCCACAAAGCTTCGGAAAATTCAGTCTTAAAATTGCTTATATTTAGGACTTAATACTCGAAATTCATTATAATTTCCATCATTATTATTGGTTTAAAAAAGTAAACTTAAAATTATTTTCTCCTTACAGTTCTAAACTCTAAAACTGTTGTTAACAATCAAAGTACCCCCCTGTAGGGAACGTTGTGAAACACAGTACTAGACTCTTAATACATTCGTATTCTTTCTCATACTGAATCTTCATAAATCTCAGTTATTATGGATTTAAATGACCGTTGTACTAGCTGTTACGCGAATACTATCGAAATTAAACTTCTTTATTAGGCTTAAAATTAGACTTCAGCCTTTGAAAAAGGTATTAAATGTTTTTGAACAATCATTATGCCACAGATGTTCATGGGAAAGTTTTTCTTGTCCATAAGGTTCGTTGTATTAACGCAAAAATACTAAAACTTTCCGTTTATTTTACGCTCACTTTATGCTTAAAACCTTAGGCTTTTTAAGGCTACAATTTAAAAGTACATAAAGTTAACAAACTATATTGTTATATTCTATCAAGAACATTATTTTTATAAAGTTCCAAAAACTGTTATCTTAGTATAAGAGAGGCAAAATTGCGTAGGATTTTCTTGTAGGCGCCGTGTTTTTCCACTTGAGTTAATATGTCAAGACCATGTCTTAAAGTATTATTTTAGTTATAATTATGTGAGGAATCTCATTTGAATAACATTGATACACATCAAAGGAAAAGAAGCGTAAAGATTATTTTTATTTTATCACCGTTACATAATAAAATGTCTTATATTTATTATAAACTAGCTGGCCTGGCGAACATCGTACCGCCTAACAGTCGATTCTTTATTTTTTTTTAAATACTTATTCTGCTATTCGGGACACCGGTCTAGCTAGTAAGATAAAAAATGAAAGTTGATAAGACAACAAATACATTATGCCATAAAATAAAAATTTACCTTCCCGGAACCCCTCCTCTAACACTTGAACTTTATGGTATGGTATTAAAGTGCAAATTGACTTTTAAGTATTATTACGAATATTTTGTATGGGAATATAGAAAAGTGTTGTTTTTAGACTTTTTCACTCAATTTTTTTTAATTTTTCTCCGTAAGAACCATCCTCGTACTTCAAGGAATATATTAAAAAAAGAATTGGCCAAATTGGTCCAGGCGTTGTTGAGTTATGCGCTTACCAACACATTTTGCGATTCATTTTTATATTATAGATTACTTCCTATTAATCACAGCTTTGCACATGTTATAAACTTTGTAATTGTGTTGATGTAACAACACCCCAAATTTCAAGTTCTTAAGTAGTGTGGTTTATGCTTTCCATTGTATGAGGAATAGTTTCATATACATTATAAAATAAACAATAAACAAAGCACGACGAGTATAATATGTATTCAGAACACACATTTTACAATAAAAATAAAAATGTTTTTATCGTTTAAATTTAACAAGCTTGCGTTATGGCTGCAAAACTTGAATTGCATACTTAGGATAATTCGTCCATCCAGGTGGATACGGCGAGCAATAGAGAATAGTGACATTGTTATGGATATGAGCCGTCGAGGTGTTGGAAAATATCGCTGCCGGAGCTGCAAACAGCAAAGCGGCCGCCCAGATGAATGTGGCGCAAACCAATGGCAATTTTCGTAACTGTAACAAACGTTATTTATTATTGTAATGTGTGTAGCACAGAGCAGCATAGTATACATGTCGTGGATTAAAAGAGATTTTTATTAACCAGGTTAGCACTTACGACTATGTTGATTTGACATAACTGAGCACATATCATAGGCTCCGATCAGAATGCAATTGAAATTTGAATCGAACGCGGTACGATCCAACTCACCACTGACAGATTGACACTTTAACCTTGAAGAATGAAGGCCTGTAAGATGTCTTTGGGGCTCTCGCCTATGAATGTACAGGAATAGGAATAGAATATATATTAGGAATATTATTGGAGAAGTGGCTACGCCAGTCTCAGAGTTGTCTTAACAAAATATATGAATGAAATAAGGTCCTACACCGTCCCACACAACATTATAAAAAAAAAATAGATTTCTATGAAATATCTTAGTGTTGCCATTCTAATAAAATAAATTGAATTTTCATCCTAAATGTAATATATAATTAAGTTTTGGAATAGTTGTGCTACTAGAATTTTCTGTACTTCTAATCAGTTATTTACTAGCTTCAAAAAAAATTCGCGTCATACATTTTTAGCGCTGACATATATTATGTGAAACTTTATACAGAATTTTTTTTTGACAGCTCTTGAAACAAGATTTGATTTTGATTGAAGTTTAAAAATACGTAGGGGAGCGCGGGGCTTGTTGTTACAGGGGTAAATAGTAACAGACCTTTTTCAATAGGAATTTGAATTTTATTCACGGTTTTTTTTTACCTAATCTTCAACTTATAACGTGCCACGCCACTTTACCACAGCCAGGGTCCTACCAGGCGGCTCAGTGAGTGGGTGTGTGCAAACGCTTAATTGTTGACAGGAAACCTATAATTTTACTAACGTAAATTTTTGGTTAGTTTCACTATTTTCGTAACTTTGAAGTTTTATGTATTTTATTTTATGCTAAAATATAACTATTTATGATGTTGTATAACAGTTTTCAAGATTACTAAGTTAATTTAATAGTTATCGTGATAAATATTAAGAACTCTATCAAGGGGCTAGTTGTAACAAAACCTCGGGGTTTGTTGTAACATGTTACAATTTGCCCCCAGATTGCTGTAAGTTACTGACGGCCGATGTTCAGTTTTCCCCGGCTTAAATACTCACAAATGTTCATTCGCGGTGGACCTGAAGATTGCATTGGAGCTGGCAATTCTTCAGGGTGGAGGATGACTGATAAAGAATTTTTGATTTTTGTAGATCACTTTATCAAACACGCGAAACCTACCAAGAAAGAGCCAGTTCTGTTACTGCTCGATAATCATGGCTCACATGTGAATGTTGTCTCTCAGTTGTGAGTAGTGTCAGCTCAGTTGTCGAAAAAGCCAAAGAAAACAATGTTATCATGTTATAGTTTTCCTCCCATTGCTCCCACAATTTTCAACCTATGTATGTAGGAGTCTACGGGCCTTTTAAAAACTACGTGAACAGAGCACAGACTGCATGGATGTATAATAATCCAGGAAAAACGATGACAATTTATGACATCCCAAGTGTAGTGAAGGAGTCATTATCAGTGGACTTAAAGCTTCTGGTATTTGGCCTTTGAATGTTGATATTTTCCAAGATAGTGACTTTGCGCTCTCTTATGTTACTGATCATCCAGAGCCTACATAACAATCAGAAAATGTTCTAAATGAAAGTGAGAATTTCTTTATCGTTGAGTCTTAAACATCCAGAACTATTAGATTCTGCTCCTGAAGTGGATATCAGCACAACAGAAATTATACGCCACATTGAAACTGCGAACAAACTAACTCCAAGTTGCTCTGGTCAAAATCAATTTTTCCCATCAAAAGTTAGACCATTACCAAAGGCGCCACCACGAAAAACAAATATAAATTGCAGACGCAAAAGGAAGTCTGCTGTTCTGACTGATACGCCTGAAAATGAAGCTTTGAGAGTAGAATATGAAGAAAAGATGAAGAAAATGCAAAAAGAAGATGATAAAGAAAAGTGAAAGGGGAAGGAAAAGTTAACAAATCTGCGATGGTAAGATGTAAGGTAGAACTAAGAGATAAAATGATCCAAGATGTGAAAAAATTAAACGATTGAAGGTGTCATTTTTGTTGTTACAACTAGCCCCAACCACGGGGTAAGTTGTAACACTTCTCTTTTTTTAGAAAAAAAATAATTGTGAGATAGTTACCTGTAGATTTGATAATATTTCGATTCGACTTCATAGATAAATAGTTAGAGTATCGATCAAAGTTTATTTAGTAGTAATTTAGCCAATATTCTTCATGATATTCAATTATTTGTTAAAATTGTTACAACTAGCCCCACGCTCCCCTACAAAATAACTCAGGTACCGTTATTATAATTCTCAATCAATGGTTTTCGTTTGGTAATACATATAACCATTTTACTGATGAAATTCTGAATATTTTTTTTTTTTAATTTTTATTTTATTAATAAAAAAATTAAATGATTAATTTATACAATAAATTTGACATTCCCTTACCGCTTTAGTTAATAGGCGCAACTTATATAAATAAAAGAATCAGTTACTCTGATGAAGCTTGCCACCTAAATGGAATAACGAAATAAATACTGTGTTAAGATGTTCACACATTTCTTCCAATATTGATTTCAGATATGGCCCTTACAAATTATATTACCATCCACCGTCAGTTAACCTAACTTATTTTTTCGCAGTGCCACTTGGGGTTTGTGCGAATTATGTTATAACTTGTACACAGTTATAGGTACAAATAGCTGTGACAATAATGTGCGGTTGCTGTCCGGTCCCTAATGTCGCAGATCCGATACCCGGCTGATGCACAATGGATATTCTTTCTATTGCACGTCTAACACTCGCTCGTACGGCTAGAACTTCGTGAGGAAACGTTGCCCCACATACATACCCTCACGTACGGTATGTACGTGAGGTACGGTATCACACAACAGCCGAATTAGGTATTTATTCACTTTTATAGATTTTTTCCTGACTTTCTTTTCCTCCTTACAAAGGTTGGCGATCATCATGACTACTTAAATTTTGGATGCCATGCTTCTAAACAATGACTTGGTGCTTTGACCAAACCATTGTCTAAGCTTTTTCAACCAAGTCTCTGCTCTCCTTTTACCTGCCACTTTGCCTTGTATGATTAGTTGAAGGAGCTAGTTGCTGCACTGTTTATTGGCTTTTCTTTTACTGCATATTTTTAGTACTAAGCTTTAATTATTGTACCTCATAAGAGTCTGGAAACCTAAAATACAATACAGGAATGTCCTAGTATGAGGACCAGCGTCTAAGATAATGTATAGAATAAGGTATCAATAATAAAATGTTAGTTATTTAACATTTCCATTCTTAATACTTACTTGTAATTTTCTAAATGGATTTACGATCGCGCAGTACCGCTCAGCTGACAATGCAGTTAACGTGAAGACAGATACTCCGATGCTGATGTCTTTGCCGGTTTCAGAGAGCCTGCAGATGACTTCACCCCATGGCCATGACTCAAGAGTGTAGATTGTGGACACGAATGGGACACATATCAAAATGACTAGGAGATCTGCCAGTGCTAGAGAGAATATGTACCTGTTAAAGAAATAAAGCATTATTTTTTGATACAATATAATTTATTTGATTCTGGACAACGGGCGACCTTATCGCTTTCGAACTTGCGCTTAAGATGCGCAAGAAGTCCTGCAAATGATATACAATAACTTAAACACAAAGAAAAAAGCAACTATAAACAATGTTTAGAACACATGAGTCATAACAATTTCTAAAATATACTAAAGATGCGAGATGGACAGGTAATGCTGATACATTAGATAGGGATAGGAGCTCAGCGGCTACTTGATCTTAATGGATAGAAATTTTTGGCTGCTTTGCGCATCACAGATAATATAATAATTAATAATATTTATTAATTATTATTTTTTATTTATTTATTTTTATTGATAATATTTAATTATTTTTATGAGTTTATTGCCAGTTCTTCTCTTCCGTTCTACGCCCTTGATTTAAGAACTGGCAGTCAACGTAAAATTAGAAGCATTTCATTTATATTTATTTTTTAACGTTCATAAGTGTACATTTTGTTACCAATATGAATAAATGATTTTGAATTTTGAACGTAAAGCAGAAATCTTATTCCATCCCTTTGCCGTCGGCCTATATATAAATAAGGTAAGATTCCATGTTGAATATTGGTAGCGAAACAAAATTCACAATAATATATTTTTCGCACATATTATAGAAATCTATTAATTTTATAACAATTTGTATCTAAATTTGAATGTCTACTTCACGATAGGTAATTTTATCATTTATCATTAATAATATCTGAAAGCTATCGCGGAATATGCTTAAAAGAAGAATATCTATAGCGCTAAATTAATGAAACTATGTGCGTGATTATTTGACTTCGAAAAAACTGAACGAACAGATCTATTGCAAGACAAAACTTAAAGACATGTGACTTACATACTTAAGGGCCGATTTACATTATCTTAGTGTTTAGCAGAGTGCTTTAGGATAGTACTTTAGTTGAAACATGTAAACGCTACTTGCTTTAGTACGGTTCTACTTGACTTTCAAGTTGAATCAAAATAGAATCGCTTTTTATTTTTGTTTCAAGTGATACCCCTCCCGCGCCCGCGCAACCTCCGAGATCTTTCCTCGTTGTGTGTAAACACGTAATATAGTAAAATCTTTAGGAGAGTGCACAAGTGCCGTAAAACGCTTGCGTGTTTTTTGATTTTTAAAGATGGCTAAATGGTCGGAAGATACAACTATCAAATTTGTGTCTGAATATGTTGTTCACGAATGTTCGTGGAACGTTAAAAACAATTTATACAAAAACAAACAGGCTAGGCATTCGGCACACACTAAAATACTCTCCTAAACACTAAGATAATGTAAATCGGCCCTAACACACTAGGTGGCGTTAGGTGTACTATTTTCTTAATGATTTTATTTAAACTATAACAGCTTGTAACAGCCGAACTATAAAAATAACACAAGTAACTTATTTTTCAACTAAGCCAACAGCATACACAAAAGCTTTATGCTTAATTGTACTTAAACTTTATATAAGCAAATCAGCTGGCATATCAGCTGTACATGGGTACTGAACATTTACCAACTAATGTGCAACAATTTCTTTACAAAAATGAAATCTTATATCTATATGTTTAGATTTGTTCAAATAACAATTAATAATTTTTGGTGATGAATGATTGTTTATATTTTTTGTTCTTTCCTTTTGTAAATGTTTGAACATTTTTCATCATGTATTCCATTTTTGGCTATATCTTTAGTATAAATGTTTATTGTTCTATATAAGTAAATTATGTTAGCTGTAGAATTACAAAACAAATAAATATCATACTAAGATCGACATAATTCAAATAAACATCTACAGTTGGGACACAACATCTGTCTATTCTAGATGAATCGTCAATACAATTTGACATTTATCTTGAATCATTCAAGCAAGTAACATTGCAATAATTCTAAACGGAAAAAGTGGAAAAATTTTAGTTCTAATTCCTGTAATTGTATTGAGAATTCTTACAATTTCCTTTCAGAAGGAAAACTCATTAATGCGCTAGACCAAGCGAATTGATTAAAACTATAGTTGGAAGAAATATATAGGTACTATATAAATAATAATGTATCAGCCTTCAGTGTATGTCATGCAAGAAGCAAGGAGCAGTATTGGCACACTAGATTAGCGTGCAACTCTCAAGCACGAGGTCGTGTGTTCAATAACCGGGGATCTTTTAATTCGCAGAAATAGCACTTGCTGGTCGGTGAAAAGAAACATTGTGAGAAACCCAGATATGACATCTATTTTCGCAAAAAATTAAATATTGAAGTAGAATGACAGTTTATTATCAAAATATTTTTAGTATCTAAGAAAAGTAGATTTTAACTTTAAAACAAATTCAGAACTTCAATATACGGTTGAGACAAAAGCCCTCGGACGCAACTGGATTTTTCATTTTAAAAATATCGTTGGAAATAACTTTTTCGTGACCTCAACTTCGACGCATAAAAGTGCTCCGTCGCTTCAAATTAATTAAAACTTATTCAATGTTACTGAATATGAAAAACGTCTTACGTAGGTACGTTAGTAAACACATTTTTACAATTACGATATAAGAATACTTTCTCCACTCTCATTCCTGAGGTCGTAGGTTCGAACTCGGCCGTGCAACGATGGTAGGTACTTTCTTTCTACGTGCGTATTGAACAATCACTACGTTGAAGAAAATCGTCGTGGGGAAACCGGCATCTTTTAGACCAAAAATGTCGACGCTGTGTACAGGGCATTAACGATCAGCCGCTTAGTCGCTTATTAAAAATAAAATGATCACCGAAAGCCTAAGACCAAGGGTTTTAGCACTGTTTTTTTTTTCAAGGTGTATAGTCGTAATAATTGTTGTGGATAAATAAAGATACTATTAGAGATTTAATCTGAAAGATGTGACCTACGAAGCATTAAAAAAACCTTTCAATATACAGACCCTTGAGCCTCGGCGTGCATGTCGCTGTTATATGACATTTAACGGCAAATATTTTTTTTTATAAATGCAACTGAGGCGGTGAACCGATCTTTTGTTTGGTCTGTTAAACAGACAAGGCAAGAAACAAGAGAACGCGTGACACTTCCATCTTGAACACTCCTAACTATTACACTAAATACTTGTTATAATGAAAATTGTGCTGTAGACAACCGAGAACATACAACAGACTTATACAAATCTTAGTTTAGCGAATAAGGTTTGAACAATAAAGACAATAGTATATAACTTATAAATAAATAATTTACTCGTAAGAGACTTCGTTCGAACGAAACTGTTATTTGATCAACTATTTGCATCTCCACAGAATCGGGTGTTAAATTATTCTCTCGGTTTATTTTATATTTGTCGATTAAAATTAGATGAACATCGTGGAAAAGTCAAAAACGGGTTCGCTCTGTCAACAACAATTAGTGAAAAGTAAATCCGAAACAATTCGACCCATTAAAAGATAATTGTTGTTGAAGTTAGGAAGTTGGTGGTGATGGAATAATCTGATAAAAAGTGCACTTACTTACAAGTATACTCTTGTGCAATATAAAGCGTAAATAGCCAGTCTCAATATGACTTTTTAAAAGGAATGTCAAAAATAGAAATGGCGTTGCGGCACGTTACAACAGCGTGCCGTAACACAGTTTGAGACCTCACGGTATTTTGGACAAATTTGTTGGAAAAATTGTCAAATTCCACCACCACCATGTAATAAAAAAAACTCATCTTGATTAAATAATGTATTTAATGTGGAGGCTGATTAGCTTTCATGTCGTGGCGGGCAGACCTTTAGGGCTGAGATTTGTAATCCCTAAAGACATTTGATTGCAAGAAACCTCTCTTAACGATCTTATTTTTTCCTTCAGTGATTAGTTAACACTCAAAAATGGAAAATCTACCATAAAATACATCAGCATAATTTTCTGTGAAAGTGACTTAAACGCTTTATTTTATATATAAATTCAATTATGATTTTTTTCTACCACCTTTAAAATCATTACGTTAACATGTAGTGCAACACATTTCTATGCCATAATCTTGTATATAATACTAGTGAACCCCACAGACGTTGTCCTGCATGATATTTAAAGCGATTAGGATATTAAGCAAAGTATGAAAGTACCGACTGCAGTGCCATCTGCCGGGCTGATTTGTGAATCTAAACCATTCCCAGATCCCCTTGGACACACACAAAAAATTTCATCAAAATCGGTCCAGTCGTTTGAGAGAAGTTCAGTGACATACACACTCATAGAAGAATTATATATATATAAAGATAGGTTTCAAAATTATTCACAAGTCATTTCGTAAAAATGTATAAATAACGCTGGAATTGTCAAAATATTACTTACGTGTTTGGTGCATTCCTCATGCCTCTATGCCTCACGTACACTATCACAAGAGTTCCATTTCCCAGGACGCCCACAATGAAAATGATCGCAAATATAAAAGGAACAAGATACGTCTCCACCCGGTCTTTATAGGGCGTATATTCGCTGTCAAACAATGTCGAGTTGTCCTCGAAGTATGAGATGTTCGTGCTGGTAGGTGTGTACATGGTTCTGAAACAAAAACATCATTTAGATCTAGTCTAGTTCTAGATATTCTCAAACACTCAAACTCGAAATATCTTTATTCATATAGGTAAACAAGTACACTTATGAACGTCAAAAAAGAAGTTAAATTAATTGTAAATTTAAATTTACTACTAGTTCGCAAGTCAAGGGCGTAGAGCGGGCAAGAAGAACTGGTAAGGAACTTTCCGTCACTCCATTTAATCGCTAAGTTTTGAGTCATATAAATTGTTTGAACCGGAGCAAATCCCAAGAATTAGGATCATTTATGTATTCGTCAAATTTATAAAAAGTTTTATTAATTAATTTACGTTTAACAAGGGCTTTGAATTTATTTAGTGATAATTCTCTAATTTCGCTTGGGAGTTTGTTGTAAAAACGAATACAATTTCCATATAAGGAGTGGTTTATCTTCTGGAGCCTGGTTGCCCGTACACTCAAATTAGTTTTATTTCGCATATTTCGGTGAAAGTCACCATTTGTTTTAAAATCCTTTATATATTTTTGTACAGACAACAAGGCTTCAAGAATATATTGACCAGGTTAGTGTCATAATATTTAATTCCTAAAACTTATTCCGTACCGACTCCCTCGGAGAAACACAACAAATAACAGCCCGCTTCTGTAGCACAAATATGGATTGAACCTCTGCAGCAGCACCCCACAGTAGAATACCGTACGACATAACGCTGTGAAAGTTGCTATGATACACAATTTTAGCCGTGTCCTTATCAGTAAAATGTCGGATTTTCTTTACTGCGTATGCTGCAGAGCTTAGCCTATTCGAAACGCATACTTAATGTGTTATACGACTTGACACTAAGACTACTTTTTCTTAGAAAATTTGTTTTAAACATGCACCATGTACTCGTACCACGGAATAAATGTAAACCCACAACACTGGGACTTCCTAGTGTGGGGAATGACAATTGATGAATTTTGTCACAACCATATTTCAGATATGAATAGAGTTTTTATAATTATTATTTATTTTAAAGTCTAGTTTATGTTTTGCTACGACCAAAGTCCCAATATTAAGTAGCAATATATCTATCTTAATATCGCTGTCACTGATGTAGTAATCTACGGATCGCGCGGTACAAAAACATTGTAGTCGGGATAGCAATCGCTATCGCTTTAAGGTAGTACTGGCGCTGGTGGTTTTTTGTTTAATGATGAATTAGCCGGTTGTTTTGATAAAAGTCTGGGAAACTTATAAAATATTGTATTGGCGCACTTGTCTACGAAAAATAACGAAACGAATATAAATAAATACCATAGAACTGTTCATTAGCTTGTGAAGCGACTACTAATACGAGCGAGCTTGCACGTAAAATTTGATTAGACTTTGCAGTCAAGTGAAAGGGCATAATACAGTTTGGGCTTTTTATAAGTATATAAAGTATAAATAAGTAAGTTTATAAGTATATACTGTGCTAATTTCAATCACTATAGTATAGTAGATATTTTTACAACTAAAGGTATGATGTTTGAAAAAGAGTGTTGGTCTGGTGCACTGTGCACAAATGAAATTTTATTTCTATGTTTTTTGATCCTTTATTTATCAGACTTGCTCGTACGGGAAGGCAAATATCGTGAATAACTGGCGTTAAACGATATATGTGTCACAGAAGGCTGACTATTTGTCTATAAATAAAATATTAAATACGTAGATGTCTGAGGCAACCACACAGAATTCTAGCGCCTCTGGATATGTATTATCTTCTTATATGTATATAAAATTCTCGTGTCACAGAACACTGTGGTATGGTAGTATGGTAGCTAACAAGCTACCATACTCCTCCGAAACGGCTTGACCGATTTTTATCAAGATTATATGCATATTCAGTAGGTCTGAGAATCGGCTACTATCTATCTTTCAAATAATAAATTGTATTATAAATTCCTTTTTTAAACAGAACCGACCCCAAAGTCCACAAAATTTTTTTTGTATTGATTGGTATTTCATTACCAACAAAATTAAATATATTTATTGATAATTATGTATACATATAAGGGGTATAAAGATCCTATTAAGCTAATTATTTGAAAGTCGGAAAAACGTACTAGTGACCAAATCGTAGTAAATGAAAACAATGCAATTTCGGAATGTATTCAAACGTAGTCAAACATTTTGAAGTATTTTGCGTGAATAATTTGTATTCATTGTTCGAACGGATATGTCGAATACAGAACGTGTTACAGACTGATATGAGGTTTAATAATGTTTATTTTAAGCCTCATATTTATATATTTAACTAAGAATTTGGGACTGTGTGGGTTGAAAATATAATTCTCAAATATGATAAAGAGTAGGAGATATAATACTAGGTATAGTGGTCAATTACGTCAATAAGACTTGGCCTGGTGGCTTCAGTCTATGACTATCATCCCTGAGGTCTTGGTTCGATCTGTCTGTGCACCAATGAACTTTGTATGTGCGTGTTTAACACTCGCTCGTATAGTGAAGGAAAACATCGTGATGAAACCGGCTTGCCTTAGACCGAAAAAGTCGACGTCGTGTATCAAGCACACTCCTGATCACCTACTTGCCTATAAGATTGACATATGATCATGAAACAGATACAGAAATCTGAGACCTAAAAATATTCATTCATGGTACTCTAGATTACGAGTCGTATTAGTGATATGTTAATTAACAACAGCTCAACTGCTCAACAGCAACAACCTAACGAACAACTTAATGTTGCGGTCGTTTTAGCCAGTACTAGACACAAGCGGGAATCGAATCTACAAAACTCCTCTTGGAGTTGTACGGTTGCCAACTATACCCATATATAGCTTAGAAAGAAATTCAAACGAACACACTCTCATAATTTAGAATTATATTTAGGGAAAATATAATACTACGTTTATAAAGAAAAAAAAACTAAACAGACGCAAATACGATGTTTCTACATTCCATAACACAATCTAAATGAAAACCTCTTTTGAATGCATGAGGCAGTCTTGAACTTGAATCAAATTATATTTTTTTTTATCTAAATAGCACAAAAGGCTGACCTATTTGCCAGATAAGAAATATGAATAACGAAACGTTTTTTTATTTATCTAAATGTGTCACGTTGAATTCCTACGTGCCTAAACGGCATACGAAATACTGAGATGCCTGTTAAAACTATGCAATGTTCCAAGTTATTTCCACGCATACTATCTAAACTTGAACATATTCTAAGAAACTGCATACAACATAAACAGTAGATAAGGTAGGTTAAGAATGTAAACCTGAAAGGTATAACTCCACGTTTCAAGTACGAAAAGTTCAACACCAAAAGTAGTCAGCCAAAAATGAATTATAAATTCAGCTTTATTATTAAAAGATTATAGTGTATTATTTTTATATTTAAAAATTAAAAGAGCTTGGCTGGGAGCCGTTAATTGCATCCGCCGTATAGTACCTTGCACCTTCAGATTTCCACCTGTTTCGGTCTCTTCAGACTTTTTAGGCAGTGTCAGGGTAACATCACGAGAGGACTGCCAAAACAAATTGTCGCGGTATTTTGATCAGAAGCCTCAAAATTTCTATAGCAATGGGATCATGTTCCTACCTACAAGATGGCAAAAAGTTATCGAACAAAATGGTACCTACATACTTTAGTTTAATGTAATTGATTAAGAACTTTGATTTAAGAACTGTCACTTATAATACCACAAGAGCTTCAAAATTATCGGGTATTGGGAAATGCCAGATAATTTTAAAGCTCGTGTGGTATTCGGGGGATTATTTTTCCGACCCAAATGTCGGCCAATAGAATTGCACCATGAGACGAAATGTACAGTTAACAAATAAGAATTTCATAATGAATAAAACAACTACTTAATACTTTTCTTGAAGCAACTACCAGAGAAAATTTTCAAAAAATTATCAGTATAATACCATGTAGGTTGTACCACGTGACGTCGAATGGTGCAATTCTATTGGTCGATATTTGGGTCGGAAAAATAATCAGTAAAATAAAATTTAGAATTATTTATTTGTATTGATGTATTTTTTTTACGAGTATGTAATTAATATTTTATAAGAGACACTAGCTGACCGGGCAAACGTCGTTTTGCCATATATATCATTTATAATAAAAAATAGGGATTGATCGTAGAGGGGTGAAAGTTAGGGGTTTGTATGTATTTTTAATGCTGTATCATAAATAATAAAAACAGAAATAAATATCTAAAAATAAAAAAATAAAATTAGGGGTGGACTACCCTTAACATTTAGGGGGATGAAAAATAGATGTTGTCCGATTCTCAGACATACCCAATATGCACACAAAATTTCATGAGAATCGGTCGAGCCGTTTTGGAGGAGTATGGCAACGAAAACTGTGACACGAGAATTATGTATATTAGATATAACACAAAACTAGAACGGTGTAATAAGGCTGTGGTTACAACGTGTACCAAAGTTATGTTTCTCGTGGTGCGACGTCTACATAAAGCTTCTGTCGTTTCATAACAGAATCAACACAATCTCATAGAAAGATGGGGTAGGTATATTGCAATAAAAATAATTCTTTAAACTTATTTAAAAGACCAACAATGAGAAATACAAAATAGGATGTCTTTTGAAATATGAACATTCTACTTTCGAAGGAAGATGGCCAAATGGCATATTCACTACAGTAATAGGCGTCTATTGACTGAATTCAAACGTTCTACTCTACTTGATCGTTATTGAACATTTCCAAACTGGAAACCATTTGGACCCTTCAATTTTGTGCAGTTAAATTCTGAATTTGATTTTAGATTCACGGAAAGCATTTGAACGTGTTATAACAGCTATGTTGGAATTTATTTTCGATTTTCAAATCTATTTTGGGATCCTATTACAAGAAATAATATAGTCGGTGATATCGGATGTTTTAGGTTAGAAGGAACTAAGCTACATCATCAGTAAATAAGAGATAAAATACTTAAATTATGGAACTCGTAATACCCTTGTAATCTTAAATGATTAAGGTTTAAC